GGCCCGGAGGTAAGGTTCCACAAGTACCAGGGTTCCACCACACTGCGACGTACCCCACGCATGAATTGAATCTCACCAACCAGGTCATGAACGCCTTCTCAGGAACTGGCCGCCTGGCTCCCTGGACGTCAAAAGCAGCACTGATAAGAGCCAAGATCTGCGTCCTCGCTGCGCCCTGGGGGGACAGGCTCCAGGAGCTTGCTCTGGGCGAAGGAACGCACCCTTTCCGAGAAGAGTTGCTATTTGGGAGATCCTGGCGCCGGGGACGGCCCGTCCCACTGAGGGCGACACCCTGCGGAGCCTGGCGACCTACATTGAGGACCCTGATTTTCAGGTGGCAGACCACTTCGGCGAACTCATCCGGAGCACTTTTCTGGAGGAGGTGCCCACGGGGATGGTGGAAGGATGACTCACAAAAGAGGCGGCAGCGGAGCGCTGCGGCCCGAGGACCTCTGCCCGGGTCCACTGGCTGGAATCGACGAGGGGGACAAGAACCAGACGATGGAACGGACAACGGCTCCTACGGTCGCTACATGCTGCAGCAGAACTCACTCTTCCCCCAAGTGGACTGGCGCTTTGTGTTCGTCGGCGACTTCGTTAAGCTGGAAGAAGACGCACCTGGCGGAGGTCAACGCATGGTTGGGCTTTGTGGTCCACCCCCAACCTTCCCCAAATTCTCATGGCGGCCAACAAGCGCACACTGGTCATGGAGGTCTTGCAGACCATGGTGGAAGGTCAGGCCATGAAAGGACATCAAAAGGCCTTGTTGGCAAAGTCGATGCTACAGCCACTATGGGCATGGAGGATGGCCACCGCCACAGTGGGGAGGCCGCCCAAGGTGGTAAGGATGCTGGCCTTCATGCTGCGCTTCCTCTTCAACACGCCCTTCGTCCAGTACTCCCCGTACCTGCCAAAATCTTCTTGGTGGGGCTGTAGTGATGCAAGCGCCTCGGACCTGGTGCTGCAACAAGGTGGAGCCGGTGAAGGCGGTGTCTTCCTCTGCAACATGATCCTCACTCACCAGGGCCCTTTGGCCTCCCGGGTGAGACTCCCACTGGGCAGCGACAATCACGGCTATCTTGATGGAGTTGGTGTTCCTGCTCCACACGCATGGCTCAGGGGGTGCCACCAAAGGGGAAGTGAGTCGCCCACCGGCTCCGGTCACGGGAGCTTGGGTGGGCCCACACTAAGGTCGAAAGCATCTCCACTCAGGAGACGCGGGAGAAGTCAGTACAGAGTTCCTGTTTTGGGGACTCTATTCAACAGATCAAACCCCGCGAAGTCAGGGTGGCAGATCATCAGCCCACTGGTTGAACCCGCGCGGCACGTGATTGGCCGCCAGGGAGCAGCGTCAGTCTGCACACCTTTTTCTTCATGATTTGAATCCGGGTGGGTGGCCATTGGGCCCACCCAGCCTGGAGTCTCTGACAGGGGAAGATGAGTCCCCGGCACCAACAGAATGCTTGGATAAAAGAGTTATCGCATGCTTGTGTGGTGCCGTTTGGTTAGCTTGCACACACAAACCGAAATCAGTGGTTTGCTCACGGTGCAGCAGAGTAAATGCTTGGCATTGCTGAGTATTACTTGGTGGGCCGTTGGTGGGCTTTGGTTTCCAAGACTTCTACAAGGCTGCGAGGGCTATGGGGTAAGCCAAAACGCCTCACACGGTTTCCACCCGATTGCGCCGTCAGGCCCTGATCAGGGACCCCGGCCTGATTGCACCGTCGGGCCCCGATCGGGCCCCGACGGCGCTGTCGGGCGTCGGGCCCCGATCAGGGCGCGATTGCGCTGTCACTCTTAGCTGTTCTTTATACAGTTACAAGGCGGCATCCTCAGCAACACTGGGTGAGGTGGGTCTCGGGGCGTTCCGTTCTGGGAGGGCGTGGTGCTGTTGGGGATATCGCCTGAGCTTATTTTGATCGGCGGTTGCTGAATCTCCCACGCACGCCGCATAAAAATGACCTCGTACATGTCGCTAAAACGCGCGTGAACAGAACGTCGGAGCCAACAACAACAACATGGTATAGACAACCAGGGACCCCGAACAACCACAACCCTTTATTTTGTTTCTACCCCATTGTAGAAACAAAAAGCAGGAACCCGGTCGGTTGTCTTTACCCAACAACAGCAAAAGCAGCAACAACAAGAAGATCAACAACAGCAACAGCAAGAGCAACAGCAACAGCAACGTCAACAACAGCAACAACAGCACATGCGTCAACATGGGACACAGCAGCGCCAACAACCACAACCGCAATCACAACATCATGATCAACACCAACAACAACTACTAGTCAAACACGACTACTACCACTACTACTACTACTGCTGCTGCTGCTGCTGCTGGTGCTACTACTTTGCTATTATTGCCACAGCAACAGCATCAGAAACAACAGCTTTCGAAGCAACAGCAGGAACAGCTGCAGCAACAAAAGCAGCAACAACAGCAGCAACAACAGCCACAACAGGAACTGCATCAACAAAGCACCAACAACGACCGCTACAACAACAACCGCTTCAACAACAGCCGCAACATCATCACCATAATCATCAACTACTACTACGATTACTACTACTACAGCTAAAACTAACACTGCTACAACTACTGGCACTACTACAGCTACTCCTACCACAACAACAGCTTCAGAGACAACAGCAGCAACAGCAGCAGCAGCAGTAGCAGCAAGACGAACAACAACAGCAAACTCAGGCACAACAAGGAGACCGTCAACAACTAAAGCAATCACCTGTGCAAGAACAGCCGCTTCTTTCTGCGGACAACTGCAACAACAACGGCGGCAGCCGCAGCAGCAACAAAATCACTATATCACGAAGATAGCAATGGCAAGAACAGTCGGGAGAACAAGCGCAACAAGAAGGACAAGACCAAGAACGACAGCAATCGCCTGAACAACAGCAGCAGCGCTTTGGCAGTTAATGCTTTTTTGGCGTTATTGAAATCACCAAAGCAAAGATGAAAGTGCAGGGCATGCATGTCGATTACTCCCCACCAACCTGCCAGGGCTTGACTTAAGGCCCACCCCTGAGGGCCACTGAGGGCCTGAGCAAACAGTTGATTTTCATTTTGCGCAGCCCAGGTTACACGGGGTGAAGACAGTTGAGACACGGAACTGGCCAATGCTGAAGGATGTGTCTGGCTGCTACCTGAGAATGGAGCTGATGCTGTGTCTCGTTCAGCTTGGTGCTTCCACTTTAATGTTGTCCCTCACACTTCGCTTGCTTGATGCCCAAGTGCTCCTTTTACGGCATTCATGTTTGGCAGGCGCTTGCCTTTTGCACATTGGCCACAAGACGATGGACGAAAATGCAGCTTCCTGAGACACAGCGCAGTAGGCAGCAATCATTCCACATGAGTGTGTTGCGCGTTCCGTGTAACTGAGACCTGAGGTGGCCGCTGAGTTTCTGTGGAGCAACGGCCTCGCTGAGCCGGAGGATGTGGAGAGGCTGCTGCAGCCGCCGCAGGGGCTCTTCCGTGGCCAGGCCGGTGCTGAGCCAGGAGCGAAGGCTGAGCAGACCTGTGCGCACAGCACAGGTCCTGGGTCTTCTTGACTTGGACAAGACGAGGAGGTGACCTGCTGGGATTTTGGCGGCTTTTTGTCAAATTGATGTGCCTTTCAGAAGGTACACAGAAGAGGAGACGAGGCTCAAGCTTGACGCCTTCGCATTCTAAGCACGCACAACACGACCGCACACACACACACACAGCCCACACGCACCCACACATACCCACGCGCCCATGCCCACGCTCACGCGCACGCGCAGGTGCACCCGCAGGCACGGCGAGCGTCTCGCTTAGAAACGCCCGGAATCTCTGAATTGGGAGTGCGACCAAATCGTTTGCTTGGGAACGCAAAGTGCAGCGTTGTGACACAGCATCAGGTTCTAGGGCGTGCGGGCCATCCCCGACCGCAATCCTGACTGCGTGATTCTGAAGTGTGATGGAGTCATTCTGAAGTGTGATGCCCGAAAGTGAGGTGACCGGGTCATTATGAAGTGACAGACGCAGCTCAAACCCCAACGTAGAGTGTGATGCGTGCTAGAAGCCTTACAGAGACGCGACGAAATGTGAATGGAGAGGGACGCGCAGCAACCCTAAACCGATGTGACTAGCTCCTTACGAAGCGTGATTCGCAGCAGAAACTCTAAAGTGATGTGAGTGTGAGTAGATCACCGTGAAGTGACAGAGGCAGCAGAAACCCTACAGTGCTGCGACTGAATCGTGGTGCGCAGCAGGTGATGTGACCGGGCCAATACGAAGTCAGAGGCCCAGCAGAAACCCTAAAGTGAGGTGACTGAATGACGCCAGAAAGTGAGGCTTAAGCCCTAAAGGGCGGTTGACTGAAGCAGAGTGAAGCGTGATGCTTAACGGAAGCAGTAAGGCACTGCCGTCAGAAAGCCTAAAGTGATGTGAGAAGCCCTAAAGTGAGGGACTCATTTAAAGCCGTATCACCCGCCCACCCAGCTTCCCACCCACCCACAGACCCGCGCCCGCGCCCAAACCCCCACCCGCGTCCAAGTCCACAATCACGCCCGCGACCACACACCAACCTACATCCACGCCGACGCACGAGGCCTGCACCTGCGCGCGCGGCACAGATCTGCCCGTGCGTGCGCGCAGGCGGGCGTTGGGTGGCGTGCGCGTGCTCGTGTACTCGCACGGACGTGCGTGCGCGTGACATTTGGGAAGATATCCGGAATGGCACGGGGTCGTCTTGCACACAAGTCTTGATTCATGTGCGCATGCCTGCAACAACACACATGGATGACAATAACTGCAACCAAGACCGCGCTCTTTGTCCACGATTTTGAAATGGGCATGTGCCTTGCCAGGCAGTCGAACATACAAACGGCAGTGGCATCTGAGGCCTGGAGAATATTCATTTGTTCTTGATGGGCGTGACCTGCCAATGTGGCAGGTTGTGGGCAAGTGGGCAACGCCAGTGCGAAGAGCGTGGTGGCTAAAAATACCTTTGCGGGTGCAAGGCCAGCCTGGTGTTTGGACAGTGAGATTGCCTAGACCTTCGACTGCAAAAGCCTTGAGGTCACCGTCAGATGCGAGCGTAAACTAGTTTTTCAATTGGGTCAGCATGCTTTATCGCTGGCCTTCACCACCGGCAAGAGTGCAGGGTATTTTGTGCGCTGAAGTCAGGAGGTGCAACTTCGGCGAGGCAGCACACACTGCAGCACTGACCAAACATATCGTGTTCAATCATACTCTATCACTGCTTTCCTGTGTGCCATGTAGACCCTGTGAAGTGAAGATTCTAGGGAGCGCAAAACGTCAGGGAAAGCTACGGCATAGGTGTCTGCATCGTAGCAGTGATAGTGCAGTGGAGCACAAGCACAAGACCATCTGAAGTCGACAGACAAGCTGCCACGGTAAAGACAGCGCTGTGGAGTTCACCGCAACACTTCACAGTGAGATACATGCGACTGCCAACAGTCTGCCATTTTTTGCAGGTTTGTAGTGTTGTATCTTATTGTTGGCACAGAATCTGCAATGCATTGGCGGGCTTCAGCATAGCACCACGGTATGTCATGAGACTTCCTAGCGGCATTCACATTTTCCAGTTCAAAAGATGCAAATCCCCCAGGAACAAGTGTTTGGTTGCACGTACTCTAGCTCGCGCTCTGCCAAGCAGTTCAATTCAAAGCTGCGGGTGCTCAAAGGGACTGAGAATGAAACCTATGCATGTCATTTATTTTGGAACTTTTAGTCCTTGTTCAATCAATCCGTGTGCTGAGGAGATGCGGCGCCATCGCAAGCATTACCACTCTTGGGTTTGAGTGAGCGTGAGCCTGCTGGCACTGAGCTCCTTGTCAGCATCTGAAGAGCTTGTGTCAGAATATGCGGGCCTTGCTGGCTTGAGGCTGTCGAGAAATGCTTCTGACGCTTGCTTGAACAGTGCGTCTTTGACCGAACAGCCACATTGCAATGGTCATGACGGCAAGTTGCTTATTGCATGATATTTCTGAAGTCAGGAAAGCATGAAACAATTGCCGAGTCTGATGGTATTTGACCTTGATGGAGCATCTTGGCATCGATATGTGCGAATTTGTTCGAAAAATCGATGACTGTGGACATCACAAGAAGTGGGGCGTTGGTAATGCCTGTTTGATTTCTGCCTCCGTGCCTTTTGTGTATCGCGCGCGCGCATGTTTGTGTTTGTTTGTTTGTTTGTTTGTTTGTTGTGCGTGGGAGAGATGACATGCATCCTTCTTGCTGATTGCAAGGTGTGCTGGTCTCCAGAAATGTGATCGGCTAAGAGGTCACCCTCAAGTCCTTGCGCACAGAAGTGGAGCGGTCAGCGAGCACCAATGTTTTCAGGTATCAGACAAAAGGAGGCCCTCCTTATCAAGCAACTGCGGAAGGGGCCGTCAATTCCGCCGGCGAGGCCTTGCTCTTCACTTTTCACGCCTGGCCATGCAGACTTGAAGTTCACGGTGAGCAACTCGTGATCAGGAGATTCGACTCTTCCCTGCAGTGAGAAGAGTTTGGGGCCTGCCACCTGGCTGCAAAGCAGTGTGCTCGCTCTTTGAGAGTTGCGTGCAAATACCGTCTTTGCAAGCCTGAATTCGTCTTCAAGTCTTGCTGAATTCATGGAGTGCGTCGGAGTCATTTGTCCGGAGTCTTTCCAGCTTTTAGCTGCAGTTTAGAGTTGTTTCTGCGGCAATGGCGCCTCTCCGTCGACGCACTTCGAAGCTCGGGGGGCTCTTTGCTCTCATCGCATTGTTCGCGGTATGGCATGATCGAACATTCGTGGCTCCTCTCCGGGCAGCAGCTTTGGCAGGGATCCTGGCTGCAGGAGCACATGGTGATGCTGTCCATGCCATGACAGAGATGGCACCCGTGGACTCATCCATTGTGCTGGCTCAAGACTTGCCAGTCTCCATGGGTGGCAAAGCCGGCGGTGGTTTGGAGGGGACTTACACTATGAAGGCTGGCGCAAAGAAGAAGGACTTCATTGATGACGAGAAGTTCATCAAGGCGGATGAGAAGTTCGAGGCAAAGTTTGACGAGTACATCGGTGTGTTCGGCATCCTCTTCGTTGGCGCTTTCGTTGCCCCCATGGTCACCTACTTCTGGTATGTGCGCGACTCCGATCCATGGGAGAACTAGATCAGCCCAGTTTTCAGAGCCCAACAGGTGGCCGGTGGGCTGAGGGCTTCTGCAATGTACAAAGAGAAGCTGCGCACCCAGGACACAGCGCTGCTGTGTTTTGTCGTTGCGGGAGTCAATCCTTGAATTTTCGTGTCACAGTGGCAAGAATGCAAAACAGCGTTGTTTAGCTCGTGCGCTGTGGCTTTGCAGATTTGTGGGACATGTCTAGTTCATTCGAATTCGCACACGAACGCACATGCACTAAGGCTTCAATCTGCGGCCTCGCAAGGAATACGCGTGGCTGTGGCGAGCAGCTCGGTCAGGTTTCTGGCTGCATCAATGTGCATAGAGTGAATCCAACCTGAGCCGCATTGTTCTTTGACCCTTAGGAGGTAATTGTCTACTGAATTTGGGTGTATTTGGGGGTGTTCTGGTGTTTGCGCAAGCTGTCAAGCGGCAGAACCGATAGGGGCCCGCCCCAAGACTGTGAAGCTGGTACCTTTCGAGGACACGCATGGCAGAATGAATAATCCACCAAGAAGACGTATGGTGTTATCGGGAAAGCTACAGGAGACAGCGCTGAGTGCAGTTGATTGGCGGGCGGGTTGTGGCTTAACAATTTTTGTTGCAATGGCCGGCCTCGTTTGGCTAGTGTGTAATCCACAGTTGGACACTAGCGATGGGTGAGAACGTGCCCAGGAAGCGCAACTTGATAGGGTTGGCCAAAGAGCAGCGTTGACTCGCTTTTCGAATACAAACACAAGGCCGATACCCGAGCCGATGCCCCCCCCCATTCACGTGGGATTGGTCCAGTGAGAGGCACAGGAATGGTCTTGTCAGTCTTGTCCTTTTGTCTGATGGGACGGACCGTTGCCCTCCACAGGAAGGCACGTGCAATCGAGTTCTGCAAATGCCGCCGCATTGGCACATTTCGAATTGAGTTATCATGCAGCTTTACCCTGACATTTGTTTGGTTCAACATGCGGGGATTTTGGTATCGCTACCAGGCAGCTCGAGAAGGCACAAAGCTTTGCCTTTGCTGAAGACGATAGAAGTCACCCCCGGCGTGTCCATGATGGATCTCATCGACCAGAGGAGCCTCTTGCGGTAAAGCATGTGCATGTTGGCGCTACGCTTTGCTGTCAGTCTCTTTGAGATGTACTACCGACGCGGTGAGGGCAAGCGTCCGCACTTGGAGGCAACGGTGTTGCTCTTGGCGAGTGCCTGCCAATGTCGCTGGACTATGCTGCCCCCCAAGGCCTTGCTGGCCAGATCTGGTGTTCAGCCAGAGGAGGTCCTTTTTGTGGATGATAATGAGGATAACATCCGATCTGTCAGGCGCCGTTCCTAGTTAATGCAATCTCGCAGGCGAACAGCGTGGACTAAAAACCCGAGCTTTGCATGCCCGCAGCTTTTCTTGTTCTGCACCCTGCAGGCGACTTGGGATCACCGCAGTGCACATGCCAACGGGCCTTTCAGAGGATTCTTGGGCATATGCCCTGGACGTGTACAAAGCAAGGCAATCAAGGTAGCCTGCACGTCGAACAAAGAGAGTCACGTGAACTGTTTATATTTTTTCAGCTAGCCTTCCAGGGAAGCACATGCAGGGGCTGTCAGGTTTTCTGACAGCTGCTGTAGGCACTGGACAAAGAGGGCATTTTTTGCGGAAACACAGAGAGACATTTGCAGATGCATTTGCAAACAAAAGGAAGTTGGCAAGGACTCTGCAAAGGCGCAAGCATGAACAGCTCAGGCGCAGACCAAGCTGACCTCAGACCAGAATCTTGATATATTGAAAGCTTTGATGGAGGCCGGGCCAGACATATGGTGGATGCCCTATTGTATGCAAATAGACCGTCCGAATCCATCTGCAAAACCGTGGTGGATGGGATAAATTGGCGGCTTTCTGACGTTTCCCCACTTGCAAGACTTGAAGCATCAACCGTACCGTTTCTGCGCCAGTGCCACGTTTCCGTTTGTTGGTTGTGTTTTTGGGAACTTGCCTTTGGTGGTTTGGTGAAAGCCATGCCAACTCCTGCCAGGAGACCGACATCAGAATAGCAGAGGTGAAACGCGATGCCTATGAGTTCAGGTGCACGTGATGCAAAGAAACCTCGGCATGCGAAACATGTTGCGTGCTCGCCCAGGCGAGACATCGTTGTGGGGGCAGAAAATCCCAGAACAGGCAAAACCATTGCGGAGAAGGCGCAACCAGTCAGCACAGCAAGTGTCCGCATTTGCTGGGATGAGCAGGTTCTGAAGTACATGGAGGACAAGCTGACGCAAAAGGACATAGCTTTGCACGTGTGAATATATGTATATATATATATATATAGACTCGATACTTAAAATGACTCAACAGTGCTTGTGGGTCTCAGCAGATCAAGGACATGCAGATCAACAAGCTTTTGATGAAGAATCAGGCGTACAAAGTTGCGATCAAGAAGGCCTCAGGGGATCAGGGCCGATATCGTTTGGCTTCGATCCTCTCTGCCAGTACTCCCAATGTTTAATTTGCATCAATCCTTGACCCGTTAGGCCGAAGCATCTCTCAAATCAAAAGCGGAGACGGGCGATGACCTGCAGTACATTGTTGCGGCCTTGGCATATGTACAGTTCCAGATTGCCGCGGATCAGACACAAACAGTTCCAGCACATTGTCATGGCGTCCTTGATTCCGAGTTTCATCGCATCAAGCACAGGATTTGCATTCCGTCAGGACTTTCACCAGCTCCAAATCGAGAATTCCCAGTTCGTGAAAAGAATAGAGGAGGCTAATCAGGACCTCCACTGGGAACCCGTTGGAAGCGGACAGCTGCACGGGTGTGCAAGGAGCTTATCGAACTAAAGCGCCGTGCTGGGCGAACAGTGGCGCTCTTGGCTTTGAGCCCGTGCACAAAGTTTGAACAAGTTGTATATTTGGACCATTCCACATTTACATTCCACTTGTACTTGTGCTTGTCACTTTTCAAAGTTTGGTTTGAGGTCCTTGTCTGGTGAAGGCAAGCCAATCCTCCCTTGACTGTCATCCATGCTTTCCACGCTTTTCCGAACCCCCCATATTCGCCATCATACTTTCCTTACGCGCAATTCCCTTCAATCTGGACAGCGCAATTCGACTTTAAGTCCATTCCACTTTTTCGGCTCAGTGCAGCGTGCGAGTTGCACTACATCGTTTGCGTAGTATTTGCAAGCAGAGCATGTCATGCATCTCATGCTTGTTCTGGTTGTAATACAGCAAACATGTGCAAACTGTGGTTTCCTAGCTCCCTTTTAGCAAACACACATGCAGTGCACAAGCAGGAAACAGCGCAACCACATGATTTTGTATCTACATGTAGCCTTCTGGCATCACTGGCTCACACGTGCTACGTGTAAGACTCACTTTTTGCCAAATGCAAGACAGCTAAAAGAGCGTGCCACACTGATATTCTATATTGATGGTGCATGTGTGTTCAGGTTGTGGATCGGGGCAAGCTTCACATGTGTTGACTAGTCGTATGGCTTCACCAGCCTTTGGTGCCTCTTTGTCTGAACAGTTCAGGGTCGTTTCCTGCTCGCTTGAAGAGTGCGCTGATATGAAGAGTTCTCATGCTTTGAACCTACCCATCTTCGAAAGGCTTTTTCTGCAGCGTTGATGCCTTGTGCTCTCTTCATTCCTGTGATGCTTGCCAGCCTTATCATTTTCTTGTCGAATTCTGAACATTCCATGATAGTGTTTGTCATGCTAGGTCAAGATCCTGAACAACATGAAAAAGAAGCTGAGCAGCCTTACGGCTGAGGTGCGCTGGCTTAAATGCAGCAAACATCAGCCCAATAGGACAGTGCCACGCAGGCAAAGTTCCTGGAGGATGAAATCAAAGAGCGTAAGGCAATGCTGGCAAAAACTGAGCATGACATCGTGAAGGTGGTGGAGGAGCTTGCCCAACACAGCGCATGACCGGCTGGCTTTTCTCTTCTTGCAGGTACGATACCATTGTCATGTTTCAGGCAACGTAGGTTGTGAAAGACACCTTTCATTTCGTTGAAACCGATCTTCCCGAGAAGCTTTCTTCAGCACTGAGCCTTGCTTCACACAATCAGCAGCAAACGTCCTTTAATCAACATCGCTGAGCTGAATGAAGAGTTTCCAAAAGATCTGGATCGTTTCTTGAAACACATAAGAATTTGCATTTATCTTGTTGCCCGATTTGTTAGGATAGCAAAAGCAGAAAATACAAGAACTAACAAAATATTTGATAAATGAGAGAAGCTCTGACAATCACATCTCTAGAACTATTGTAGAACATGCTCAACCCTTCAGGCAACGCGCCACTGCGAGCATGCTCAAAGGGAAAGCGCCCGATAATCCGAAAATAGTTCAACAGCGAGAAGCCACATTGGATCTTTGTGACGCGGGATGCTTTTTCAGTGGAACAATTTCAAACATATTGAACGTGTTTTCCTTGATGGCGTCGTATAAATTGAAACAATCGCCACTTTCTCAGCAAAATCATTCCTCCTGAATTTACCTCCGGCCGAGCTTAGAACAGGGTCAACTCCAAACTGTGTTTAAATCGGATCAAGTGCTTCGTTTTGATTGTGCCCAAGCTTCGCGCCCATCAAAACTAGTTTCAACCTGGTTCATCTTCCTCACGACAACAAACACTTCAATGGATCATTTCTTCCACCATTGTTGTTGAGCGCTGTAGTGATGACCGGCTCATCACAGTTCAGTATGGGCCAAAGCTCAGACAGTCAAATGTTTAAAAGGCCTGACATGTTTCTCTGCACATTAGGAGACATCTTCACACCCCATGAATCTTTCCATACTCAACATGATTTACAGTTCTCAATTCTATACTAGTCAAGCTTCTCCGTCGAAAGCTTGAATAGAAAGAGAGACGTTGCACTGGTCCAATGGCTTGAATCGAAGCTTTGAGCATAATTTGGATTGGGAAGCTGATGTGGGTGGAGAAGTTCGTCAACACGCCAAACAGGTCAAAGTGGCATGACTATTCCGTTCGAACTACGTTCGACTGTTGGGCGATGAAGTTGCCACCTGATCCCAATCGCGTCAAGTTTTGCATGTTTGGCCCATGTTTCAGAAGATGGAACTGGATATCTTTGCAAAGAAACTTCCTTCGGCATGGCACAACACATCATGCTTTAGCGATGCTACTTGCATCTGATGTATTGTTAGCATAAGGCTTTGGATGTATTGTTAGCATCTGCGAACCGGGGCATCGATGGACATGTCGCATCCTGACAATCTGGGAAGCTGAGACACACGGTGTGTTGGCCCTGTCCGCTTTTTGTATCTCTCTTGCAAATCTTTGGTCGCCGCAGAAAGTTGCAGTTTCTGGTCAGAAAGTGGATAGGACCAAATCGGGAGGAA